AGGCAGTGGAAGACAGGAGGACCTGATGTGCTCTGGTCCATGGAGTCACGAAGAGTTGGACATGACTTAATGACTAAACAACAACGGGGGCGGGGGCTCATGAGATGGCAGTGCCACTAACATTTCTCCCAGTATTTCTATCCCTCTCCCCCTCTGTCAGTATTTCCACAGTGTTCCACAATCAGACTATTACACAATGCTTGGATGCACAATGTAAGAGAGACCAGTGATAACCACAGAGCACTCTGTGGGTATTAAACACAACACAACTGTGTTGCACACAAAATAAAAATGTAGAGACCTGCAAAACAGACCAAGTGTAGGCTGAAGAGTAACCACAGATTTAGCTTGGGGAGTGATAGGTTTCAAAAAAAGAGACAGTTCTGCTCATGTGGGGGCCCTACATTTTTGCATTAACCCAGAATGTACACACAAGAAAGAGTTTCTTATCTTCAGATGTGTTTCACTCCTTGTGGAGAAAGAGATGACAAAGAGATGAGGGCCCAGTTGTTGCTCTGAGAGATATTTCCTCAGGTTTTGTTGGTATGAACTACCTTGTAAGGAAAGAGGAGTTAAAACTGCTATTAGGAGAAATGTCATACTTTTGAATGAATGGGAAAGTGTGCAGGAAAAAACATATAAAGTGGTAGAACAAATAAAGAAATAGAAGAAACTGAAAGTATTTTTAAATACTGTGTTGAATATTCACTTACTTATGCATGAGTTAACTGTATATGCAGATCTTATGATTAGAATAAACGTCATGCTATTATTTTTATTCTTATTTCTTTTCTTTTTTTGCCTGTTTACCAAAAGAACTATTATGAAAGTATAGAGGTTTTAATTTTATATTACTGCCTTGTGTTGGCATGTCAAAACTCTGCTTAAAATTATTTTATGTTAATGTCGTTATTATGCAATGAATGTAGCAGCAATGTTATACATCTATTATCATCTGGGGTTTTTTTTACATCTCTGTAGGCTTGGAAAAGATGGTATGATGTCACAGGTAAGGCAATATGGACTTTGACATTGAGTTGTTGTTGTTGTTGTTGTTGTTTCCAGGTGGTACAGGCTGTCAGTCAGGATGGGAGAGATGGGTTGAGAATATTGGGAATGCCAAAGTGAAGTGGTAGTCCTGACTACATAAATCATATTGCCCTACTAACATCTTTAAACCATATTATATTCTCCACTCTGTATATATTTATGTATATATACACATATATTTCAAATCAATGCTTCAAATACTAAATTCAGTAAAAGCCTTTCTAATTAAAGTGATTAACATAATACATTGTCTGAAATATAATCTTAATCACAGAGTATATTGTAATACGCATATATTTATCTTTCACTAAGCAATTTCTATTATTGTATTTAACATGAAACATTTCTAGTTTAAGAGTTATATATGCTTATCTATTACTTATATAGATAAAAGTCCAAAGTTACTAACAGTATCTCTTAATATAATTATTCAACAAAAAATAAATTGTTAGTTTCTTTTTCCTGCACCCCTATCCTTCCAATTATATGCCAAAGTGTCAATGCTCCTGAAATCAACAAGAATCAATGAACTACAGGCCACATGTATAAAGTGTTACCTCTTCAGTCAGAAGTTAAATTATCTTAGAATAATCTTAAAACTGTAGAGCTGGAAGGGACCCTATGGGTCACTGAGTTCAGCCCTATCAAGGAGGCAGATTGCGGAAATGAACTCCTAACCTCTGGCTCCGCAACCAGATTAGAGATGGGCACGAACTGCAAAATGAATCACCAAATTCATTAAAAAAAAATCATTAATTCATCTATATGTATTAGCACAAATCAATGCCCCTGACGAATATGAATCAATGAATTTTAAACAAGTTTTTATTTGTTAATACATTTGGCTATAACCAAATGTCCTCTGACTCTCCTCTACAATCTTGAAGTTTGGTGAAGATCGGACAAAAGGCACTTTCCTAGGGGGACCCACTTCGTGGGTGTATAACTTGGGTGTCTGAAACCCAATCTTCACTGACCTTGGAGGGATTGTAGAGGAGAGTCAGCAGAAGCTTGGCTGTGATTTTGGTGTCTCTAGGTGCCAGGAGGGACTTTCCTGAGTCTGTGTGTGTACATCATAGGCATCCTTCAGTCTCAAGAGACTATGGTAACATGCTCTGAATCGAGGAGTGTCCTCTCCAGAACACAACTCAAACATCCAAAACCCAAACTCACCTGTCTTGCAAGTCTTGTAGAGGAGATTCAGGGGAAGCTTGCAAATTTGGTGTGTCTCGGTGCTTGTGGGGCAATTTTATAGAATTTTAAAGTAAAAATAAATTGACATATTGATTTATTGATTCATCAAAGTCTAGGTGCTTGTGGGGCAATTTTATAGAATTTTAAAGTAAAAATAAATTGACAAATTGATTTATTGATTCATCAAAAAAATCAATCATAAATTTACAATGAGTTATTAATCGACCTGGATGAATCACTAATCAAAACAAATAATCATTTATCTGATTCGTGCCCATCTCCAAGACAGACACCTAAATCACTGAATTAACCAGCAGTTCTAACATGGGTTTAGAGCAAAGGTGCACATTTTTGTCCCAAGGGCTTCACCCAGTGATGGTTTGTGTAGAAATAGAGGTGGGCTTGCATAATGACAGGTCTAGAAAAGGAGTGTTATGGAAATGCCCACCTTTTGGAGGAGGGCCTGGTTCGGCACATCTGACAAACTGAAAATAAAAAGGACGAAACAGTAGCAAAAATAGACAGAAAAAAAATTGATGGAATTTCACATCGCCAACTATAGAAAGATACGCTATCAGATAATCTTTAAAATGAAGTGTCTGTGTGTGCATATGTATAAAACATGAAAGTAAATTATTTGCTCAGTTTACCTTTCTATATTACCAAATCCTAAAATATACAGAAATGACCATGACAAATGCTTTACTATGTGAATGAATTTCATTACTGCTATAGTTATAATGAATGTTATTGCTGTGATACTGTTATATTGAAAATGTACCCAGTAGAGATATTGTTTATTTTTTTTTAAAAAAGGAAAAAATTAAGAAGAGATACACCTTCTGTCACTTTGCTCTGCTTAACAAAATTCTGCTTGCCTTCTATCAGGTCTTAGTACCTCAGACATGGAACACAACGTTTGCTGTTCAAAGCTTCCTTGAGGTACCATTTCCCATTTCTAGCTCTACTAATTTGTTTTGTCTGAGATACTACCATGACACCTTGTGCATTCATATGCATGCATTTAATTATTAATTAGGTTCCATCCGGTTGATTCTGCTTATGGCAAGCTACCATGACACCTTGTACATTCATATGCGTTTAATCATTAATTATGTTCCATCCGGTTGATTCTGCTTATGGCAACCTTTTCCAGGGTTTTTTAAGTATAGCATAATAAAAAAAGGTTTGCCATTCCCTTCTTCTTGGCGGGATGCATGCTGGGACACTGCAGCTTGCCCAAGACTACACAGGCTGGCTCTTCCCTTGGGACACATAATGGGAAATCAAACTCTGCTATCCAACCAATCAGCATTTAGTTAGAGAAATGAAAAGACTGGTAGCCGGTGTATGTATGATTTAACCAAAGTGTCCACATCATGGCCTCCAAGTGTTGTGAATATCTATCACAACTTTAAAAGGCAAATTGTCTAGGCTGCTGTTTTAGCATAAAGTCCAGTAATCGTAATCATCGTTACCATCATGTGTGTTTGTTCTTATAATTTTGTTCCAGTTTTAAACATGGCTATATTCAGATATATTCCAGGTGATGTCTATTCAGTTTTTCTCCTTGGGAGGCTGTGCCCCTCTGTGTGTAGGGTATAGAAATAGACAGTATCTGTCTTCTCATGCTCCCATCCTTTCAGCATTTCAGCTTGGTTGATTCAGCATCCTGCAGCTTGATGGGAACAAAGACTGGGGCCTGGAACAAGCTTCCTTTCCACATTTTCATGTTCACTTGTTCCTTTACCTTCTCCTCTAGACTATTAGAAGGTTCAAGGAGGAGGGAAACTACTCATTCCACTTCATCAGAAACTGAATGGATTCACCTTAACATCTTTGTTTTTTCTAGGCTGGTATTCAGAACAACCCTGAATATGAATCCTGTCTTAAGAAAGCCAATGCGTACCTGAAATCCTCACAGGTGAGAATCTAGGATAGAATGACTCAACACGAGGAATCAATACTGTCATGGTTTCCACTAGGACAGAGTATGGTAGCTAACTTATGTTTCCAGTAGTGATATTATGTCTACAAAAATGTGTCAGAGTCCAGTGTTTATGTTTTTAAACAGGTGGGGCTATAACTTCTATATATAAATGTGTGTGTGTGTGTGTGTGTGTGTGTGTGTGTGTATTTACCATTCCCTTCGCATATATATGATGTTGGGAGGATAATCTTCCCAATTTTGCTCCATTCCCTTTGCATATATATGGTGTTGGGAGGATAATCTTCCCAATTTTGCTCCCTATGAGATCTTCTCTTTCTCTGATATGTCCATCTACCTTTCTTCTGTCCTGTGCCCAGGAATGGTCTCTACACAGTTAGAGAAACATAAACAGAGTATCTTCAAAGCCAGTGCCCTCCAAAGAACTCCCACTCCTTATGTTTAAAGTTCCATATAATATGCAGATACTTTGCAAGCCCATTGCATAATATATTCTCAATGTCTTTTTCAGATACTAGATAATCCGCCCAACTACCAGAGATACTATCGCCAAATGAATAAGGTACATTTTGAATCCTGCAGTGTGTGAGATGTAGCCAGCAAAAAGTGGAGATTGAAACATTAATTCCTGGCTATCAGAAGTGATAGGATGAGTGTGCTATGTATTTTAAATTTCTGTTTCTCCCACATTGTAATTAGATTGGGAGTTATGGTCATAGAGCATACATCTTAAAAAGTCTGGTTAACCAGACACTTTACATAGATGTATTGGACTATAACTTTAATCTTTTAGCCAACATGGACAAAACTAAAGAGATAGGAAAGTAAAGGTGTGATTACACAGCAGGAAAATTCAAATAGATCTGCTGTGAAGTTGCACTCAGAAAGTCACGTTTCTCTAGAGTAATTTGCTTGTACACAGGAGTCACCAGAAAGAGAGGAAGAAGTTAGTCTTGCTTGCTGGTTGTTAACCATCTCAGTCCTCTCCTCCCACACTTGGTATCTGGGTCTTCTGGTTTCTGCTTTCCCTTCTTTTCTTTTAGGCTTACTATCTTAGAGTTGGCCAGCAAGGTGAATGAAGAGAGAAAAAAAAGTGTGGTTTCAGCAGAGAGATAGGAGGAAGTTTTCGCTTCAGCCTTGTTTTCAGCTTCTTAAGGGAGCTTTGCTGTGCTTTGGCTGTCCAGATTTACAGCAGGCACAGTTAGATCAGAGCTGCCTTAAAGCATCCTCTCCTCTCTCTTTGCTCAGTCCTTGTTCTTCTTCCCACTTCCTTTTGGTCACCCAGCTGCCCCAGCTCTACATTAGCAGGCCTTTAAAAGAAAAATGAAGAAATGGATCAGGAAGCATAGATGATATTAGATCCAGGCGCCAAGCATGGGGAGGACAGGAATCAAACAACACTGAGTTTCTCTACTGACCTACCTCTCTCACTCCTGCTTGAGCTGGCTGGAATGGCTTTGAATACATTGGCTACAAATCCCTCCACATCAACACAAATGATTACACCACCTAAACCAAAGAGGTAGAAGCCTCAATGGCGGAAGAAAAGACTAAAACAGATTTGACTGATTCACATTTGCTTTTATGACATGTAATCAATGGAAAGTAATGCAAATCAAACTGTCCCAATCCCAGAGGATTTCCTGCATCATTTCTCAATGTAGTTACTGTACATCTTCAGAGGTGTACTCTAGGTCCTTATTTATATTCCTTTGGGTACAGGGAGTCTAATTTCTCTTACCTTTTTCCTCTTTATTTGCAGAGGATGTTAATTTGCATATTTTGCTCAGAATAAGAAAGCTAATAGTCTAAACCTGATATTAGTCAAGGTCAAGCCAAATAGCATACTGAACATGTGAGATATACTTTTCTGATAACAATAAGAAAATTATTTATTTAGCTACACTACTGAGGTGTAAATCCATAGCTGTCTGGGTCATGTGCAAAATAAAACATAATTAAATAAGTAAGTCCAGCTATTTTTTTTTTAAATCTGTGGTCAAAAACCCCGTTTAAAATAGCAGAGATCAGGATATTGTTTATTTAGCTACATTACTGAGGTGTAAATCCATAGCTGTCTGGGTCATGTGCAAAATAAAACATAATTAAATAAGTAAGTCCAGCTATTTTTTTTTTAAATCTGTGGTCAAAAACCCCGTTTAAAATAGCAGAGATCAGGATATTGCAAGCAATGAATACTAAGCAAATCAAAAATATCCTTAAATGGCTCTTAGACACAGCTCAAAGAAACAAGTAAGCAGTAAAGTTTATTGCAATTAACAAGGCTTGAAAGAATGAGAACTCCTTGCCTGGTACCAAAGTGCACAATGAATGGCTAAATCCTGTTGCTGGAAGTTATACTGGGGAAGGTGGATGATATCAGCTAATACTTTTTTTATAATTTAAATTTTTCCAGTTCCCTTCCAAATCCTTCCTTGGGATCCCTTTAATTGTGAGGGAACTGTTGGGGCCATGGGTAGGAAGGAAGTCTTTAATTTCTGAAAAATCACTGCAGCTGATGACATCACCAGCCGTACATTGCATAGGCTGTGCAACAGGATTTCAGCCAATGTCTCAAATCACACAGTTATAATGGCTTTGAATGATGTCTGAAAGCCCATGAAATTTGTAGGCAAGGTGCCTGGTAAACTGTAGTGGGAGAGGAGGTGATTAGAGATGTGGGTATTCATATTCGTATATGAATATCCCCCCACAGGTGCAGATAATAAGGTTCTGCCCCCCTGGGGCCAGATCACTCATAATTCTGTCCCTGCTGTGAGCTCCATGGTTCATTCCTATCACTCCATTGCTGTGTGTGTTTAGTCGTTTAGTCGTGTCCGACTCTTCGTGACCCCATTGCTTCGTGACTCCATTGCTAGCGATGGATTAGCCACTCCTGGCAGAAGGCGGGATGACGAGCCTCTCTGCCAGGTCGCAGAGTGGCTAATTCATCACAAGCAATGGAGAGATAGGAAGGCGCTGCAGAGCTCACAGCAGGGGCAGAATTGTGAGTGGTTGGTCTGGCCCCAGGGGGCCGGTCCCTCGTTATCTGCACCTGTGGAGGGATATTCATATATGAATACGAATACTCCCATCTCTAGAGGTGACACCTGCTGTAATATATGTTTTGGAATTAATTATAAGTCTCTATTCCTTTCTGCAGCCTGGTGGCCAAAAGAGAAATGGCTTTGTTCTCATTTTTCTGTTGTTTCCCTACATTCCCAGGGAGGATTCCCTTTCAGCAACCCAGATAATGGCTGGATAATCTGTGACGGCACTGGAGAAGCAATAAAGACATTGATGTTGCTGGAGGAAAAATGCCCGTTCATAGAAGAACATGTGGAGCCTCAGCAGTTCTTTGATGCTGTCAATGCGGTGAGATTTGGGATACCAAGAAAGGAAGACAGGGAAGAAGCTTCTAGGTCTGTGATGATGGGTTGTGAATGTATATGCCCCCTCTGAGAGAGTGGGGATGACCAATTAGCTAGAGTTTGAAGTGACCTTTCTTAGGGGTGGAGGGAGTTACCTTCACCAGGTCTCTCTCTCTCTCTCTCTGAGGGTCTGTAACACTGTTCAGGCTTATAAACCACCAGCCTCATTACTTCCCTTGCCAATTGGTGCAACCTTTGCCCTCGGAATAAGCAATGCCATTGGTTTGGGCTCAAATACTCCCAGTTGATCTGACCCTTCATCAGCCTCTCTCAGGTGTCCCACAGATTGGTCTTTGGTTTTAGGGACTTTTTTGCCCTTCCAAACAGACCTCTTTCAGACTGATATTTAATCAGCTAGAGAAGGGTTTTGTTTTGTAGATATGAAGCCAGTATGTACTGCAGAGACTGGCTCATTTCCTCTCCACTTGGAGGCAACTGCCTAGTCTCTGTCTCACTGTCTTCCTCCTTTTTCTACTTTGTGGTAGATTTTAGATTTTTTTGGTTCAATCCCTCTAGCTGCACAGCAGAAATGTGGAGATTCACAGAGTAGAGTAGTCCACTATGGCAGGAAATATTTTTAGTGGTCTTTCCCCACTTTCTCCTCTTCTTGCTCATCTGGGTCTGTTCAGCTTCTGAGCTCCATTGGAGTGTTCAGTCTGGTAACACCCTAGAGAAGAGATCTACCCTGTGCCCACCATGTACCTTGGGCAAGGACCCCTGGAAGGGCGGAGGGACATGAGTGTCCAAACTCATTCACTCACATGAATTATATTGATTTTTGAGCTCTGGCTTGAAGACAGTTGGTGGAAGTATCAATGGCATAGCTAGAAGGACAGCATGTTGTCCTCTTTGAATAATGTTCATGTATATGCCTCTTAGCTTAAGTAAAGGGTTCTAAGTAGTATCCAAACAATGAAAGCTCATTCTGGATAGCCTAAAAGTTGGATGGAAAGTTTACCAATAGTCAGGATTAACAATAACATGGTCGAAGGATTGCTAAATTCCTCTAACGATTTGAAGGCAAAAGCAGAATGCAGGGGGCTTGGACCTTATGAGTAGCAGGGAGAGTTCAACTGATTGTGGCACGTTATTCAAAGTGTAAGTTTTGTGAAGGGTAGAACTGTGTCCTGAATTAGCCCATTCTTGTATATTTAACTTGCAAACTCATCATAGGTGCTGATCAAGAATTGGGATGAGGCCAGCGTGTGTGCTTGAAAAAGCAGGCCAGAGAGCTCATTTTGGCTTGGGATGGACAAAAATGGAAACTAATGTCAAACCTTAAATTGGCTGTTTCTTAGGAGTGATTAAATATCATCAAATGCTTGTGTTTTCTTACCCTTTGGAAGAAAGTGGGACACCAGAGTCTTCCTCGATTTTTTTATTTGTATTAGACATATTCTTTTAACTCATTCCCTTTCTTAAATACAATTTCCATCTGGAATCCAACACCCTTGGGTAATGTCAAAAGTCAAACTTATCCAGAAGACGACCATTTACAGTAACCCTTAGGGAAGACATCATAGGTCCATCAAGCAGGTCTTTTATACTTTCCTTCCTTTTTTATTCAGAAGAATGAAGTAAATAAAATGCATTAGCAATACATCTCAGCCTAGTCAAGGGAAATTTGCCTTTTCATTGCTGACACTAAGAGTTTTTAGCTGATTGGTAAGAACAATCTTTACCTAATGGTAACAGCACCCTTGAACATGTATACTTGGAGACTCATCACGTCAGTTTTAACATTCCCTGTCCCTGTTTTTTCCTTTTGTGTTTCTGTTCAGATGCTGGACATGAGAAATGCTAATGGAGGTTTTGCTCCCTATGAAGCCATGCATGGAAACTACCTATTGTCACTCATGAACTCTGGAGATATGTATAGTAAGAACAACATCTTACCAGCAGAACAACTACCGAGGGATCATGTGTGAATTTGTGAAAAACTTTGTGATCAGCCTTAAGGGCACTGAATATCACCAAGATTTCAAAATGGTGGTCAGAAATGTAATCATTTCCTTAGAAGGCAATTCAAGTTTAAAAGGTCAACTGAAAGCACAAATAACCAGAGAAGACAATACGGGCCGACACAAGCCTGTGGCCCAGCAAAGATCTGATGGGACAGAGATAAGTGACAGTTAAATGTCAAGCAGTCACTCAAGGCAGCTCATGTGGCCTCTTAATAAAGAATTGCCACACCTCAGTTAAATAAAGTTAACCAATCCTGATTGGCATCCACAGGCATCAAGTTTGGCTGAGCTGTTGAGCTGTTGTACAGGGAGCACTGCAGCATGGCACAGGCAAGGCTTGCTCTGCCTTGGGAGCTGCCTCAGTGATATGGGAAGTAAGGGACCAGACTCTGCTGCCAGTATCTCTAGTTTGAGTCTCCTAGGACCTTGCATTGTAGACTGGGATGGGCCATCTTAATGGTTCCAGTGACCAGGGTTGTCCCCTTAAGCCATGCTGTGGACCACTACTACTCCCCTTTCCCCTGAAAATTTCATCAAAAAGAGGAACTTTATTTTCTTTTGGCCGCTGGATTTCAGTGATTAAGCCTCTATAAGCCACTTAAAACAAACAAAATGCTTTAAAAATGCATCCTCTCCTCCCACCCCCAGTGGTGGTGCTTTAGAGGTCATCAAATGGCTTTGGGGGGGATGTTTGGGGCTGGTGGCCCACATGATTCTCAACTCTGTTACAGATCTTTGAAGATAGATCATAATACAGTGGTGCCTCGCATTACGATGTCGAAATCGGTGTAGTTACGAAAAATTGTAAAGCAAAATTAAAAAGCCCATAGAAATGCATTGAACCCTGTTTAATGCATTCCGATGGGCTTAAAACTCACCGTCCAGCGAAGATCCTCCATAGGGCAGCCATTTTCACTGCCTGTCTTGCGAGGAATCCGTCCCTAAACACAGCGGGGAGCCATTTTATTTACCTGGTGGCCATTTTGAAACCGCCGATCAGCTGTTGGAAAATCGTCATTTTGTGAAGAATTGGTTCCCGAAGCAGGGAACTGATCATCGCAAAGCGAAATTCCCCCATAGGAAACGTCATTTTGCGATCGCAAAAAGTTCATCGTAATGCAATTTCGTCGTTAAACGAAGCAATCGTAATGCGAGGCACCACTGTACCAGGCCTCCTGATTTCAGGGGGCAAGCAAGATGATGTGGGAACATGCTTGTGCCAAATATAGCTGCTAATGAATTTATGGGAATAATTAAAGATATTTGACCCACCTTTTCCTGTAGATGTTTGAAAAAGTGACCATCTTTTTTTGAACTTGTTTTCTCTCTCTCTTTTTTAAAGAGTAATGATTTGAGGATTGTTTCATAGAAGTAAGTGAGAATAATGGAAGAGAAAGAATGAATTTGTTGTAAATATAATGTTTATCTTATTTTTTGAAGGCGATTATATACTAGATCGTGCCTGTGTTGAATGTACGTCATCAGTTATGCAAGGATTAAAATATTTCCAGAAGAGATTTCCAGATCATCGTGCAGATGAAATCAGGTAAAGGAATAAAGAAACTCTGTAGAAATTGAGAGGCCAAGTCACATTGTTTTATGTATTGAATATAGACATTATTCCAACCATGGGGGTGTATAGGAGTCTGAACTTCAGTTTCAGAAAATTGTTCTCTCCATTTGCACGAATTAGATCCATGTTTCAGGCCATGCCAGATTAAATATGTTAAATATTATATCCATCTAAATATGGACCTTTTTTTGAGATCCAGGAATCAGATTTATTGATCAGTATAATTAATAATTCAATGTAGAAGCAGAGTTTTATACGTATAATATGGTTCAATTTGTATATGTCTGGAAATCAAGATCTCATTATTGAAATACTTAGAGTTCAATCCTATGCACATTTATCTAGGACTAAACCTTTTTGAATTTACCAGGACTTATATTTGAATATCGATACATTAATCTACTCCAGAACAGCAGAGGGAACGTAACAGAGGATCAATCTATTTGACTGGAAGAAAAGCTAGCCTGAGTAGCCTCTAGGCAAGCTGCACAATCCTAGAAGTGCCTCCCAGAAAAAGGGAATTGTAAACCACTTCTAAATTCTCTATATCTGCCTCAAACCCCCAAACTATCCTCCTCTCTAGCTCTCTCTGGCTCAGATTGAACTTCTCTCCCAGGCTCCGCCTCTTCAGCAGCCCCTTTGGCTCCGCCTCACAACCATATTAACATACAACTTATGAATAATGCATAACTTAGGGTGGACACCACATCTGTATTCTCACCTGGACAGGAATCTCACCACATGGAATAAATATAGGGCACATCTATTTTCTCCCCTGATGTCTGAAGAAATGGATTTTGAATTGAGTTGAGAAAGCTCACACTGAACAAAAATTGTCAGTCTTTAAAGTGCTATAATATTTTGCTTTTTCTGGTCTTTGATTTTCCCCCTTTTGCCAACATACTGAGATAGACTAACACAACACGTCTTTGGAAATTCCTAAAAATACATAATTTCTGCATAAAAGATCATTCTTCAAAATATGTTCATACATGTCAAGGCAACATGTGTACTATTTTCTGTATGGAGCAGAAATCTACATGGGATATCTATCTTGTTCATAAAGTTGCTAGCATTGGATTAGAACTAGATGAAGGACAGATTTTGTAGTAATTAGTCATGAGTGTGGATGGAGCCCACTATGGCTTTGTGGCTTCATCTAAGAGGAGCAGTAGCACCATATAAAAACCAGCACCACCAACAACAGGTGCCCAGATAATATATTTTGATTAAAGGTGGGTTCCAAATCAGAACAGCTTGAAGAATGCTTTAGGTCAAGCCTTCTCTAGAAACAAGTTATATGGGATGTAAGACAATGCCTTTGTTTCTTCTCTCCAGTGATACTCTCAATAAGGGTTTGCAGTTTTGTCGTAATACGCAAAGAGGAGATGGCGGCTGGTATGGGTGAGTTGCTCACCATTATTTCACACTGAAATAGACTCTGTCACTACACATCATAGCATCTGTGTGAAAGTTCTTAAGAGAATAATTTACCTGAGTATTGTGTTTTAAGGTATTGAGCTATGTTCTTAATCTTCCTATCTTGAGCTCTTATCCATGACTTTTTAAACATTGAAATCCCACTGCCATGATGTATTGTGTGAGAGTTCTTAAGATAATAATTTACCTGAGTACAGTATTGTGTTTTAAGATATTCAGCTATGTTCTTAATCTTGCTATCTTGAGCTCTTATCCATGACTTGTTAAACATTGAAATCCCACTGCCATGATGTCACCTCCCGTTTATATCATTGTTCACTACTTTGTGCACCCTGTGGTAGAACATGCTGTTGCAAAAATAAATGAATACACGAAGAAAGAATGGACAAAAGAGCCTTACAAAGGGCATGGGCCGACACATATTTCAATATCTTGCATTCATTGGCTGCTGACCTTTGTCTTTTTAACAGGACATGGGGTCTGTGTTTCACATACGGCACCTGGTTTGCACTGGAAGCATTTGCATGTATGGGATACACTTATCATGGTCGGTAAGTAAGAAGAACAACATGTTTTCAGTCAGAACATTAATGAATATTAACATTGTTCTGCCTTTGACCTTTGCTTTGGGATGGTGGAGAGACTATTAGATACCCTTGGGACTCTATAAATGCAGAGAATCATGCTTGGTTTTGAATGATATTAGTAATATCATTACTAGAGTCATTTTGGTGATGTTACTTCATAGTGCTCACTGTACCTTCCATTTTGCTGCACTGCTGTGTAGGAACCTACTGCTCAAACAGAGATGGCCTTATATATAGATTTGGATTAAAAGGCCACATGGGAACTGGATCTGAAAAGATGACCAAAAGCTAATTTTGCTTTCTGATAGAAATGGGAGTAGACATTACGTAGGTTACTGTCACTTTCCCACACTCTCAGTTAATTCTTTCTTTCTTCTTCCCAGCATGGCATGTGAGGAGGTGACCAAGGCTTGTGAGTTCTTAGTCTCCAAACAAATGGCAGACGGTGGTTGGGGAGAGGAATTTGAATCCTTCAGACATCACAAATATATTCAGCATACCATATCCCAGATCCACCATACTGCCTGGGCTCTACTGGGACTGATGGCTGCTAGGTAAGTGGAAGCAAATAGAAAACTATCAGCTGTTGAAAACTTATCTAAGTAGGAAAAAGATATCAAACCAGATTGTTCCCATGGGCATAACTTAGGCATTCATGGAGTTTCTGGTATGTGACAAAATGTAAAGACGCTTCTGGAAACTAGAAAGGAATCTTGAAGCAGCAGAATCTCACAATTGGTCTACCAGTCCAATAAGCTTATGCCCATAATTATTTGGACCTGAAATGTTCGTTGGATTTTTAGTTGTCAGTGGCTGAAAATAAACAAGTTACTGTGGAGACCAATGACTCTGTTTCACAGGAGAATCTATGCAAGCAGCTATGCAACCCTGTAACTGGACTATATCTCTGGAGGTTTTATTGCAGATATGATGGAATTCTGAAGCTTTTTTCTTCCTGTCAGGCTGTCATGGAAACAGACAACTCATTTTCTGGTTTCTTTGAAAGCTTATGGTTGCTGAGGGATGACAGGGTCACTTGAGTATTTTTAAGTCCCTGCTGTAAAGAGGATCAAACGATCAGGCAAATAAAGGTAAATGTGAATACACACATGGGAAAATCACTAGGAAAACAATAAACTTTGAATAAATGTTCTGAATAGAAGATGAAATGGCAAACCCTTGATTTTTTTAAAAAAAGAGACTTCCCCCCCAGCACACCCCTGTATATGGAACATGTAGATATACTTCTATGACATAATCATAACTGGGGAAAAATTTCATTAGAAAATCACAGCTATGACTTGAAAGTCTCTCATGATCCTATAATCCCTGTGGAATTTATGGTGTTATTGTTTCATATTAGTAATAATATTGTTACTGAAACAGAGGAAGGGGAATAAATACCTGATGATTTCCCAACAGCTAGTTTCTGCATAGAAAGGAAATTGTAGATTTCACAAAGAACACAAGTACTTTACACTGAATGTGCACTTTGGAGGAAAAACAAAGATTATGGCTGTACAGGGACTCCCTGATCGGATGTGAAGGCCAATTTGAGGCTTCCAAATAAATCTCAACATGAAGTGATCCAGAAGTGATTTGTAAGCCTCACATTGATGTGCCTTGGAAGGCAAAAATGGCTGAAACTTTTTTGGTTTAGTACTGTTGTAAATAAAATGTGGACACATGATACATGCTAAACATACCAGATGTCAAATAGTTTCAATAGTTCATATACTAGGCATCTTTAAATTAGCTTTTTTCAAGAAAAGCAAGAAAAAGTATTGAAGCAATCCGTGGCTTATCCAGTTGGATTTCTGTTCTAGACACAAATGGACCTATAATCTTGCTTTGTTTCACTTTGCTCCAGAATGGAATCTGGCAATTCAGCTTCAGTCTGGACCTCTCATCAATTTATGTATGTTAATCAGACTAATTTGTTTAGTAACTGGAGATTTATCCGAATTTGGTGCCTGGTCACAACAAACGTACCTGAACAAACACACAGTAATTTTAGAAAATAATATTCTTGTGTGTGTTTTAATGTCCTGCCACCTAGTAACAGCAGAAGCATCTACAGGTATGTGAAACTTGTGATCCATGTGCTGATACGATATTAGAATTATCTCAGAAACTCTGGAATCTCTATAATGCCTGGGCTCATCTACCTGCTTTTAAAAGGATGCCAAGAATTATCAGAGAGTTTGAAGGAATTCTGATCTTGGTTGGGGACTGAAAGAAGCATCTTCTTCTTGTCATCTGATTCCACTGGAATCTAATAGAGTCTTCTCATGATTAGTAGGGATGTGCATGACAAACATTTTTGTATTTGTTTTGGGTTCTTTTAGGTGCAACTCTTTTGTAGTCATATTTTTCATTTACCAGTCCTTTTGTTTTACACGAAAGGGAAGGCCACTTTCAAGTTTCCCATTTGTGTTTCCTGGCATTCCAAAAACTCTAAAGAACCCTTAAAACTGCTCCAAAAAAAGCAGAAGCACACACCCAACTATGAACTAAAATAAACAACTTTAACTGAATAAATACACAGTAAATTAACCAAGTAACATTTTTTTAAAAAAATAAATCAAACAGGGAAAGTGCCTTCCCTACTCAGGGAAAAAAACTGCAAAATAAAAAACATACAGTACATAGTCCCCAGCCAAGAAAATCGAACAAATAAAAGCAAATAAAAAAGCAAATTAAAAAACACAAGCAAATAAAAGCAAGAAATACAATCAGGCCCCTTCCAACCAATACTACTAAAATATGGGGAGATTTCTCATTTGACGCCTTCTCTTGTATTATTTGAGTCCACTCAGCAAGAACAGGCAGGCCAAGTACAGGCAGCAAAAATAATCCCAAGAAAGTGAAGCCTCAAAAAAAGGTGGTTTTTTTTTAAAAAAACAATTTCTAAATAAATTAAAAGGGAAAAATCCATAAAACAGCTCCCAGGAGGCACGCTGCCACAGGGAGGCTAATGACAGCAGCAAAAATAATCCAAAGAAATGGGGAAAATCATACAAAAAATTAAGGAGGAAAAAAAAGGATTTAAGATGGAGGCACATAGGCAGGCAGGCAGGCAGTAGATAAAAGGCAACTTGAGTTCAGCATAAAGTAATCCCACAAGCAGCAAATGAAGCAATGTGCACACTCCTCACTGGGTCCCAGAATATTTTATGGATTCAAAATTCCTATTCCCCCTGGATATTTGGAATGGCTTGGGGACACCTCCCTCTGAGAGGGAACAAGCAGAAACTTTTTGCATAGCTGAGCCTACAAAGTAAGGTAGATAAATTCCACCGCTCAAGAACAAATGGGGCATTACTGACATATTCAGCAAGGAGTTTTATTTGCGCTTATCTGTTTTGGAGCCAGCAGACATTTAGGTCATTGGTGTCAAAAAAGATATGGCGTTTTCTTTCCCAGTATAGGCTGCCAGGACTAATAGCTAGTATGGCATTTGCTTTTCAGATATCCTGATGTTCGTGTCCTGGAAAGGGGGATCAAGGCTGTGATCGACAAGCAGACAACCATTGGGGATTGGCCTCGGGTGTGTTACAGGTTTTATTGATCAGACTGGTGCTTGTTGCTATGGCCTCCAGATGTAGATACATATAGAAATAATGGTGTATGTGCAGAGCCCTTCTGTACCATCAAGTACTGAGAGACTGAGGCCAATGAACATGTAATTACTGCCATAAAGATATATATCCTACCGGTGGCCTCCATGCAGCTTTAATAATACATGGAACAGTGGTGGCCTGTAGATGGAACAGAGGGGAGGGGGAGATGTCACTTTAAAAAGCACTGCCGAAGAAGTGCAGTCCTCCACTCAGCCCTCAGCCCACTGGTGCTGAGAATATCTGTATGCCACGAGCAAAGGGATTCATCTAAGTGCCTCTTGTTCTCTCCCCTTCACTGCTGCTGCTACTGCTTCTGTGGGAAACATCCTATGCAAAGGCCCTCGCGTTGCTTCAGTGGCATGCAAGCCTGTGGCAGGGATTGACTTTTTGCAAAAATCAGGGTAGAAGACACAGTGGAGCCTACTGTTCGAGGAAGTGAGGCAACCCACACCCTATGACAGATTTTATTCCGTTTTAAAAGACAGGAAAGTTGCAGTTCATATTTTTTTTCCACCATAAAATGTCCCATTTGGATTTTCAGCCTGAGGAGCCAGGGATGTCTTTAAACATCTGTGTTGCGTATGAATTGGCTGTGGGTTGTCAGAAAACATGGGCATTGATTTCTCGTTTTATAGCAGTGCTTCTCAACCGTGGGTCCCAAATGTTCTTGGACTTTAGGGGCCAGAAACCCTGGCCAGCACAGCTAGTGGTGAAAGCTTCTGGGAGTTTTAGTCCAAGAATATTTGTGGACCCAGGGTTGTTCAACAGTCTTGTCTGTGGCTGACTTTTTGACAATATATGGGTTGAGAACCACTGTTCAACAGTTTTGTCTGTGGCTGACTTTTTGACAATATATACAGCTCTTAAAAAATACTTACCAGAACGTAGTTAGTATAACTCTACTTTGTGTCTCTGTTCTCTGAGAGGATTTGGTCATTGTACGGAGATGAGGTCTACTTATGTATACATTTTGCTGAAGGCATTTCTTTCTCTTTCCTCTCCTCAGCAAGACATCGTTACAGGATTTCTTAAAACGGGAGCTGTTGATTATTCTTCCTACTCAAACATCTTCTCTATTTTTGCACTGGCCCGCTTCGTTCGCCTTCATCCTAATAGCTCTGTTGCTAGACAGCTTCCGGATGATGAAACTGGACTTTCAGAACACGGTCAGAATGAAAGATGCTAAGAGACATTGTGCCATTCCTGGGAACCAGTCCTTCAACTTTTCTCACAGTGGTGCTTTTCTTTCATTTCATGTTGTCCCTGAAGTATGTCCTAGCACTTTTTTTTCCTTTTTGATTATTGGTCCTTGTACTAATTGCTATATATAAAACATTACATAGTGAGGCACATTCAGAATTATCCCACCCAGAGTAGACCTTTAGTCTAGATGGGCGGGATAGAAATCCAATAAATAAATAAATACATCCCGGTCTGTTTCAGTAAAATTGCTTCCTAAATTTAAGCCAACTTTTAAGCTTAATCATCATCATAATGTGCAATCAAGTCAATTCTGAATTATGGTGACCCTTTTCAGGGTTTTCCAGGTAGAAAATACTGTACTCAGAAGTGGCTTACCATTCCCTTCTTCTGGGGAGGAACCTGGAACTGTGCAGCTTGCCCAAGGCCACACAGGCTGGCTCTTCTCCCTGGTGGCACAATGGGGGAAATGAACTCCCAACCTTTGGCCCCACAGATGGATACCTAAACTTCTGAGCTATCCAGCCTGGCTATGCATTAACATGGGTTTTTAGTTATGCAAGTAGCAGCAGAAGGGAAGCATAAGAAGCCGGGTTGTGGTGGTGAGTGTTTAATATGTTTCCTCCCTGCCATGCTCTTGGGAAAAAAAATCCTACCTGAAACTGCTCTTTGCATTTCATGAGAAGCCTGTAAATATAGGGCTGCACTGTCGAATCCCAAACAACTCAAAGCGGTGGCTAAAAGGTAATGGTTATCCATAATGAGAAATATCTAAAGAGCCCAGTCTCTCCAGAGGACAAGACAGAGAGATGGGTACTAAAGTACAGTGAGGTGTGCACATAAATTAGGAAGACAGAGAAAATGTGGTGATCTTGCTTTGCCTCATCGTAGGAGGAATGGGTCACAGTGACTTCAGTCTTCACACCAGCTTCATTATTCTCCAAACAGAATATTTAAAATATACAAAATTTCTGTGCTCAGAAATATTGCTGAATTGGGAGATTTCCATCCTATAAGTCTAGCAGACAAACCAAATACATCATCTTAATACATCTTTTCTTTTTCAACTAAAGTTTCATCTGGAAAAGGGAATTGGCAAGTTCCTGTTTTCAAGATTCTAAATTAAGTTTTGATCTCATGGCTCTTGAATGTTGTGCTTTGGGAAATATGGGGGGGGGCATTCTTTTAAACCTGAGAGATTATGATTATAATGCCACTACTAAATTAGATGCATCATATATTCTGTACAAGGATTTGATGAATTTATCATTAATGGCCAAAATTGTACTGTCAATGAGCCTGGTGGTGGCCCTGGGGCAGAGGTCAAATAACCAAACACACACAAGCTGTTTCGGGGAAAGAATTGGCCACAATTTTATTGGTTACAGCTGCTAATAAACCCCTCACACTAGGATAGGAGATGGATCTTCATCAGCAACCTCACCTGGTAATCTGATGCAAACCAGGGAGACAGAGAGAGGGTTAACCACTTGGAAGCAGGCTGCTGTGTGGCCCTTTCTATCCCCCAGAAAGTGGGGTGTGTGCATCTAACCTCCCCACCCCCACCCTATAAAGTGGTGCAACCATGGAGGGCATCCCATACCTGTAAGGCCCTATCATCACCACCTGGATCCATCTCAGTGCTTCCAAAATGCCCCCAACAATGCTGTGATGTGAACCTAGAGGTTATACTCCATTTCTTTGTTGACTAACCACATAAGTGCAGATACCCGCTTAGAATAAACATTTCCAAGAAAAGTTTCAAACCACACAGAAGCTCCAGGAGACAAAGGGAACTCTGTGTAGCTGGCATTAGTTTTCAAATTCCCCCTTTTGGCCAAACACGACATCCCAAAATGTCATGTCCACCAAGAACAAATGTTCCCACCCCCTTGGCCCTTCTAATTGGCCACTTTTAAGGGCAAGAGCTGCTCCATGATCCGGGGAGCCCCAGGAGGAAGGACAGCCTCTGAGAGGGTGGCCACTTGCGCTATCTAGCCCCAAGAAACCATCACTGACAAAATGCAGGCCTCCGGTGATTTCTGGACTGTAGCTTCTGTAAATGATACCTGTGTAAGAGTGATGATAGCAGCAACAGGGGGAGTTTACTGGTAATTAAAGAATACCTCTTTTGCTCCTGCATCTCACATGCATACAAGCTAGCATGTAATCAGCCTCATTGTGTGCAAGTTGAGTGAGTCTCAGGATGGAAGCAAAGAATACTTGAATTACCTGCAGCCGTCCCCTACTGGTGACACCATCACTCTGTTTAAGGAGCAGGACTTTGGCCCATATCTGACTACATCTGGACTTGACAGTTGGTGGTCATCTACTCATAAGTGATTGTGGGTATGCTTTACAATGCAAGAGAGCATATGTGCCTTGAAATGTTACCTGAGAGTGTTGTCCTAAACCATGTAGCCTTCTGTGTGGCATGGCAGTTCATGCTGTACATGTGCATAGTGAATGTTCCAAGCTTCAAATGTTTCATGTTTTTCTGAAAGACAATTCCAGCACTCAAATTCAAGAATGAACAATGAAATAAATAGGAAGAGTTACAGGAAGTGTTCTGAATATCAGCACATATAGTATGTCTCTGTTCCTCCGCAGGTACAGTGTAATGCTCAGTAGATGCCCTACAAAGCATTGTGTTTTATTATACAGTTCATTATCAAAAGAGTCTCTTTGCCCAGACAAAAAAGCTGAATTACAGTAAGGTGCCAGCGTTTTGTGATATGGCTGAGAAACCAGCTGCTCAAAAGGAAAGTGAGCGCTTGGTCCGTTTGGCTTTCTTAAAGTTACCCCTCATGGTCTCCAAGAGCAACTTCACCAGTTCAGTCTTTCCTCTACCTACCATGGCTTTAGAGAGTTCAAGCACCTCCGCTGTATGGTGGCGACAGACCGTCCTAAGTTCCTGATGAACACGCTGCTTGGGGTATTTCTCCTCAGCCTTCTTCACCCAAAACTCAACTTCCTTCACCAACATCTCTGTATTTATTTTCTTCTGACTGAACAAGGTAAGCAGCATTTCCATTAAGCACCGGAAACTCTCTGTACAAAACGAACCCACATCATCCAGTTCCACTGCCTGCTTGAAGCATTCAATAGCATTCAGTTCTTCATTTTTTAGCCGAAAACATTTCCCCCTTAACAAATGAATTTCAGGCAAAACGTTCCCCAGGTCAAATTCCGTGGCTTTAGCCAAGAACAAGAGGGCATTATGAAGTGCATTTTCATCGACAAGAAACAATTCCTGGATGGCGTCCACTCCCATGTAATAATATACCTAAAAGGAGAGAAGATTGAAAGAGAAGGAAAGGCAAGATATTTCTTTTTGTACAATCATGATGGCTTCATTAAAAGAACTAAGCTCATGAAGTGCAGAAGACAACAACAAAATTCTTATAACTTTCATTATTCCAAACAAATAAGTCCATAGCCAGAAAATACCATCCATCCATCTAACATACTTTTTAAAGATCTTGCATCTTCTAAAAATCTGTAGAGTCAGGCTGTGGTAGACCTCCAGGGAGAATTCTATGGTACTTGTTGTAAAGATAGGACCATCTTTACAACACCGTTATGTGTCCTACGTGATCTTTGGCTAACTCCCGCAACACCATTAACTCCAGAAGAAAAGCACCATCAAGGAAGTGTAGTTCTTCCATATATTTCAAAGAATCATGGTTTCCTCATCAAAAAATAACCAAAGGCTTGCAATACAGTGCCAATGCTCATCCCGGTAAGCCCCATCTTCTTTGTGCTAAATTGTAACTAACCATGACTAAGTGAAGCAGAACCTTTGACCTCGTCTAGGTAAACCCCAAGTCTCATAAAACAAAACACATTGGGATCCCAAGATTTTAGCACAGTATTTTAATTTCAGTTACTACTTGTTATATTCTCCCTTCCTCTCCTGCAATGAAAAGGTTGTGCTATATTTCTATTGCTTCCTGCTGGTGTTAATCATTCTGTGTTGTACTTCTAAAACTGTAGCAATCTGTGTGTTTGTTGATGGATGGTCATATAGGTTTAATAAATATATAGATAATTTTACACATCTAAAACTGTGGTTTCTTTTATGAATTCAATCCATCTCACATTTGGACTTCCTTTTTCCCCTGCCGATTTCTGACAGTTTGACATTTAAATATAAATGTCTCTATAATTATGAAATGGAATAGACTAATGAAGTGAAAACAGTTTAATAGTCTGGACAACGTGGCTGCTTTTGCTCACCTCACCAAGATCATAAATATTTTGACACATCTAAAACTGTGGTTTCTTTTATGGATTCAATCCATCTCACATTTGGTCTTCCTTTTTCCCCCGCTGATTTCTGACATTTATATTTAAATGTCTCTATAATCATGAAATGGAATAATGGAGTGAAGACAGTTTAATAGTCTGGACAATGTGGCTGCTTTTGCTCACCTCACCAAGATCAAGATACGTCTTCAGGCATGGATGCACCTTCATTACATTCTCAAGATCAGTTTTAGCATCAAATAGGTTCCTCTTGTCCGGCATTCCTCCCAAACCTATCTTCACCCGCTCCACATCACGTAAATACAGTTTAATTAGGATCTAAAAAGAGAGACATTGGGCTCATTTGACTTGATTTTACTTTTTAAAATGTTTTTATTTTTCACTTTCTTTTGTATTTCTGTTGAAACTGTATAGAGCTGCTACCAGTCAGGATAGGAAACCTTCACTTAAAGGGCCCTAGATTTCTAAGCTTTGTAAGGCAGTGTTGGGAGTTCATAGACTTCAATATTGTAATAAGTTTGCAACTGTTATTGTATAAATCCCAAGAAATGCTTAGAACATGTCACAGAAAAAAAATTAAATGAGGAAAAAAGAAATATATCTGACTGAAATGCTGACTCCACACACATAGAGATTAAAAAATGATAATTTTAAAACCAGAAGAATGAGGGAGATCAACAACTGTACCCAACAAACAATTCAAATCTACTTATAAACAACACCTTTTCCTTCACACTGCCGTCACATTACAGCTGATTACCTTCTTAATATTTCTTCTTTGGAGACTTTTTTCAATTGCTACTACAAAAAGATTTACTGAAGATCTTCTCTCTGCATGTTTTTTTCCTGATAGAGAAGGAAACAAAATCTACCGTATGTTTTATAATGCTGAATCTCAGCAAGATGTTCCTTATGTCTTATCAGGAGTGGTCTTTGAGTTCCCCTAATGTAAAAGGAATCACATTCCAAACACCTGATTTTACAAAACACATTCTTAATTACACATTCATCCTTAACTTTCATCAGAGAGGAGACATTCCTACATCTTTCACTGAATAGTATATGGAAAGGTGTTGACCAGATGCTACTTTAATGTAACTGTAACACTACAGAGAAAATTGCTCTGATGCCTATGCAGACATTTGTTTCTCTACACAAACAGAAGGACCAGGAGGCACATGTTCCAAGCCTGCCCTCTTCACCTGCGACCTGTGCAACCAGGTGATGCTACAAAGGCATTGTTTGAAAGGTGAGGCACCTACCTTGGCACGAATGCAGTACGCTTGCCAGTTAAGTACTGGGTCTGGCAGAACATCTAAGGCCATGTTGCAGACAGCCATTGCCATCTCTTGCTTGCCAAGGAAGAGGAAGATTTTTGCCAGACGGTTTAGAACAGGTGGACTGTCTTTAGCTATTTCTAGGGCCTTAAAAGCAAACACATTCATGAAATATATTTATATTACTGAATTCCCACCTTCGGTGTTGATCAGAGAGGGTCATAACCAGGATAAATTTATTTCAATATATTAATGCTTGGGCAGCTGTTACAGATTCTACCCTTTCAGGAGTGTTTAAAGTATATGAGGACATGGGCTGGAATAGCTTCTTCTCATAGGCGAAAAGAAGGACAATGAACAAGAGGACCTTTGTATGTATGTATGTATGTATGTATGTATGTATGTATGTATGTATGTATGTATGTATGTATCTATGTATGTATGTATGTATGTACGTACGTACGTACGTACGTATGTATGTATGTATTTTACTTTTATATTGCCCATCTGGCACACTGGCTGGCATAGAGAGAACAATAAATATAAATCAGTAATCATAATACACCAACAGATAAAATAAAATGAACATCATTAACAACAACAAAAAAATTACATCTTGATAGGTCTAAATAGGTAGATATAAAATTTCCCTGAAAGCATGGAACGAGGGTCGCTCGGCTGCGTGGACTATTTCCACCCACCACCAGAGTTGTGCGCTCTTCTTTCCCCACTGCTTTTGAAAGTGCCATGGATGCTTGTGAGAAGTCTCTCCAAATGTGCAGAAACCTCCTCCATGGGGACAACCTGCCTAGACTGGCTCAAGTATCTTCTATCTGCACTAGAATTTAAAAGCATTTTGACTAGATTACCACTTCTAGGCCTGAAAAGGAGGCACATACACACTTACACGTACACTCAGTTGTAGAAGGAAAGGGAGCATAGAAGGCACAATTTACACTGACAGAGGTATTCACACATGGCAGAACAATTCAAAATAAATCAAATTGAGATCTGCCTAAAATGAATTATCCTCTCACAGAAGAGTAAAATACCTTGCTTATGATCTAATACACACATACACATACACTCAGTTGTAAAAGGTAAGGGAGCATAGAAGGCACAATTTACAATGACAGAGGTGTTCACACATGGCAGAACAATTCAAAATAAATCAAATTGAGATCTGCCTAAAATGAATTATCCTCTCACAGAAGAGTAAAATACCTTGCTTATGATCTAAATAACACGATTCCCTACAAAACCTATCCACAGTTCCATGTGCATCACGTAATCATATTTTTTAAAAAAATGATTTGATGAGCACCGCCCTCTAGAGTCGGGCACAACTGGACAAATTGTCACGGGGAACCTTTACCTTACCTAAACCTGATTCAAATGGTTTTTTCCCAGTGTAACCAAATTCACAGTTAGTAAATAATAATAATAATAATATTGATAGCATTTGGGGATAATGGGATACGTTCTTAAAAGCTGCTTTGTATATTTCTTTCTTAACTAATTTCCTAAATATCAGGAGGGATGGAGCTTAGTGCATCTCAGTTCGAAGCTCAAGGACCACCACTGAGAAGGCCCAGATCCTTATTGTCACCTTTTTAGCTTCACTCAGTGTAGCCACATTTAACAATGTGGTTTGGGAGGAACTTATGAAATGGATAGCTATATAAACCTACCTTTCCAAAGCAGTCAAGAGGATCAGTCTCAGAGTAGCCACAATCATGGATGCCCATAGGTGGAGCTGAGAAAGAGTCTTTCCTTTCTAGCAGTATCCCAAGATAACACCAGGCCAAGGCTAGACAAAGAGGAGGATTGATATCAGAGCTGGTCAGCTGGAACAACCATTTCCAGTCTGGCCCCATATTTGGCCTCATCCCCACTCAACAGTTATACTAGCTTGGAAATGGTGGGAACTGTAGTCAAAAACCTCTGGAGGGGATTGGGGAAGTCTTTCTGCTTAAATTTGTTCCAAAGGGATAAGAAATTAACTTGAGAGACCTAATGGGAAGTGAGTGCCAAAAACATTCCAATGAGCTTTCTGCCATGTGGTGACAGATGGTGACTCCAGTTACGGAGGTGCTGTGAATCCATTCCAGATTTTAGTCTGCAGTTTATTAGAGCCATCAAAGATGCTGAATCCTGTTGCCCCCAAATGGCTTTAACACCTTGGATAACTACTGTAAAATGCAGATTCAAACCCAAAGTGGAATCACACAACTTCCAAAGCTGAAGTCACCAACAAGCACTGGTGCTGTGCATAGGAAGACTGCCCATCTGGGGATCTCTCTTCCGTTACCAGCTGATGAAAAAAGTAACTTTTGAGGAGGGAGAGTATCTGTCTCACTGTGGCAATCAAATGTTAGAGATTTTAGGTTCAAGCAGCCCTTTAGGATGTGAACCATACACTGACTTCTGCAATTTGAGCCAGGAAGCTTGATTGTACAGTACTGGACTGCAACATCCTTTTTTTGGGGTAAGAACACTGGACGTTTACTTTTTGAAGGCAGGGCGATGTTGGCTAGGGGAGTCTCTGGGAGTTAGGGCCTAGCGAAGCTCTGCTTCTGAGACACACTGCTTCATATGAATTACACCTGTAGCAACTTGCTCGTGTGATTTTTCCTACCTCTGTACTGGAGGCTGGAGGACTTCAGGACTTGCTGAAGCAACACCAGGGTTCTGTTGAAGGCTGGTGACCTTTTCTCCTCCTCATTGCCCTTATTCATCCACATCCCATCCAATCTAAAGCAAAGAAGGGAGCCTCTATGGTTATTTCCTCTTAAACATGTTGTTGTAGTCCAGTCACATCCCATTTATAGTGAATCTAATATGAAATTTTCGAGGGATATGAGATATTTAAGAAGTGGTTTTACCATTGCCATCTCCCTCCACCCCACTCGTGTACAATGCTTGAACTCACAGCTATTTTCTTTTGTTCCACGTACCTTCAATCAATAGGTATGGTAGCACCAAGTTTTCAAAGTTAATACACATTGAAAAGAAATGCATGATGTGTAAGTTGTGCTTCCCAAAACAACAACCCACCCATTTGTTTCAAAAACATTTATGTTTATACCCCTCATTTCCAGATGCTGATTGTTGGGCCTTGGCAAAATCTGAGTGGAACAAAAAGTCTGACCTGGATAATTCTTTCATTTAATTACTAAGTGAGAAATAAAATGAGTTTGGGGAACCTTTAGGACTCTTTTACAAGCATTGAAGTTATAGCAACTGGGGGGGGGGAACTGGCCTATTTATTTATTTGAAATATTTATACCCTGCTTTTCTTCTCAAGAGGACCCAAGGCAGTTCACAATATTAAAATATACAATAGAAAAACTTCAGGGAGTGAGAAGCAGCTCCTTCCTTAGACACCCAGTTATTGAAGGGAAAAGTCTTTGCCAGACTGGGGAAGGACAGCACACAAGGGGCCAGCCTGGCTTCCTGTGGGAGGGAGTTCCATAGCTTGGGAGCAGTGGCAGAAAAGGCCCTGTCCTGTCCCCATCAAACACATCTGTGAGGATGGCAGGATGGAGACAAGGCCCTCCCTAATGATTTTAATAACTAGGCCGGCTCATATAGGGAGATGTGGTCTTTCAAGTAACATGGGTCCAAGCTGTTTAGGGTTTTATAAGTCAAAACTAGCACTTTGACCTGGATTAGCAGCTAGTGGAGCTGTGTAACATGTGACTCTTCCTACGAAGAGTGAGTTTCGCAGTTTGGGCATCTGCCTGGACCTGGATCTCACCATGGAAACCCAGGTGGCATCTGTGATCTGGGGAGCCCATTTCCATCTTTGGAGGATTGCCTAGCTCGTCCCTATCTAGATGCAGGGGCACTCACAACGCTGGTTCATGCTCTTGTTATCTCAAGAATAGACTACTGCAGTGCCCTCTACGTGGGGCTACCTTTGAGGCTGATGTGGAGACTTCAACTAGTCCAGACTTCAGTGGCCAGATTAATAACTGGGGTGAAGAAATTACAGCACATCTCCCCCACTCTGACCGCCCTTCATTGGGTCCCTCAACTTCAAGGTTATGATGATAACATTCAAAGCCCTAAATGGTTTAAGACCTCGGTACCAATCAGAATGCCTACTCCCAGTCAGATCTGTCTGTGATACCTGTTCTTCACAGCTCCCAGTCAGATCGGTCTGTGATACCTGTTCTTCACAGGCAGGGTGGTTCAGGGGCTTGACCCCAAAGGAGGCCTGGAGGGAAAGAACAAGAAACCGGGCCTTCTCGGTGGTCACACACACACCCCCCCGCCACCTGTGGAACAACCTGCCCATTGAGATCTGCCTGGCACCCTCACTGGATGGGTTCAAATGAACATTGAAGACTTGGCTCTTCCACCAGGCTTTCCCTGAGCATTAAGATCTCAGCATCCCTTTTACCATCCTTTTTGTCATCCTTTTTCATCACCCTTTTTACCACCTTCATTGCCATCTGTTTTTTTTTTATCCTGTTGGCTACGTATTATTTTATTTTTTATTGTATTTTAATATTGCTGTTTATGTTGTTGTTAGCCACCCAGAGTGGCCTGGTTGCCAGATGGTATGAGG